CTACATATAATTAATATATATTTTTCCTTGTGAGTTTTTGCGCTAAGTTAATATAAAAAATAAGTGTTTTCAGTATCTTTTCGTGGAAGTGGGCGTTGAATTCTTTTTATCTTGTCTGTGAGCGGTGATCCAAAAGGTTTGAAAACCTATGTATTATAGTAACAGGAAAGACATGTGTCGGTTTCTTTTTAGAAGTTCTGCTCGGCATGCCAATTTATAAATATTAAAAACTGCCCTAATTATTACAAATTACAGGCATATGGGATTTCAGGGTGATGGGCATAGAGGCAGTGCACCTCAGATCTTTGTGATATAAAGCTTGAGTGGCACTGCAACTGTTATGCACAGGCGCGTCGTTTACCATTAGGCGCACGACTTCTTCGTCCCATCACTATCATAGATAGATAGCTAGGATCATAGAAAAAAAAATTAATCAATTGTGATATTTCTTTTTACCTTAGAATAATAACGCATAGAATGATAGTTTCATATCAAACGAACTGTCACAAGTGAGGCAAAAATCAAATTCATGTAGGCTAGTTTTAGCAGTAGGTTAATTTTCGGTTTTAGTGAATATTTATATAAAAATACAAGTTGAAACGCGTTACTTCCTTGTGGAATGTGATGTTAGTAGCTATTTTATGTTTGTCTGACGTATATTTACACTCATTTACCGCACATTTCGTCATTTTTAGCTAAAATTCTTGATCTGTTCGCGGTGCAAGTTGACCTTGAGCACTGACAGCCCGCCCGCTCGTGTAGGCCCATTGAGAGCGCCTCAATTTGCCTCACTTAGCGTGTGCGGACTAGGTTTCTATTCGTTATTATTCTAAGCTTTTTACTTTTAAAAGCATGGACAATATCTAGGTTTCAAATTCTGCACGGGAGTCGGTAATATTTTTTACATGAATTAGAGAAGGAAAAATAAAACAGTGTTTTGTTATCGCATGTTCTGCATTTTATGGACTCTTTAAAATATTTGTCCATCTTGGCAATGGGGATTATGAACTTCTAAAGGAAGAAAAGTCAGGTGGAAAAATATTTTTAAATGCCATTGAACTAATGGTAACAATTATGACTTAAGATTACAATTGTTCCCCATGGAATTGAGTACATGCAACTACTGGGAATAACCGTTTTTTTTCACCTGGTACAATAATAATAATATAAGTTTATTTTCTCTACAAACATAACTGTTATACATGTACAACATTACTAGACTTTTTTCATAATATCAAGTAACGGGACGAAGCAGTCGTGCGCCCTATGGTAAGCTACAGTTGCAGTGTCACTCAGAGCTTAAAATCGCAAAGATCTGAGGGGCATAGTGCCACTGCGCCCGTCACCCTGAGACATAAGTCGACAAGTCTCATGTGCCTGTAATTTCAACAGCACCCTTACCCTTCAAAACTGGAACACAGTAGTGGTGACATTACTGTTTGGCGGCAGAAATTGGTAAGGTGGCAGTACCACTCTGGATTAATTCTTTCACGAGGAGCTCTACTGCTACTAAAACTGGCACCTAAACTAAGCGTTTGTGTGTGTGTGTGTGTGTGTGTGTGTGTATGTGTGTGTGTGTGTGTGTGTGTGCGCGCGCGCGCGTGCGTGCGTGCGTGCGTGCGTGCGTGCGTGCGTGCGTGCGTGTGTATATATACTGGACACTGTCCTGTAGCTTGTATAGTGACCTGTAGCAGTTTCGTTGTAAGAAAGTTTTAACAAACATTTTGTGTTTAATGAGGGATACAGTATATTGTTATATATAAGTTTTTTTTAACACATTGCACAAATGACTACCTCTAAAATAGAATAATTTTTATGCAAACGAAGTGTGGATACTATTGTATTACTTTTTTGTTAACTGCTATTGTGGTCAGAAGAAAAAGCCTTAAAAAGTAAAATGTCTTCGGTTACCAGATATGGAAGGGGCTCTGGAAGGATGAGTGATTGCGTGTTGATGAGTTAAAGTTGAAAGCAAATAAAACTGCTTTGGAAATAAAAAGTAGTAGCTACTCTATAAACTTCCAAATATGATGAAATAATTGTACTGTATAACGTTACATAACTCGTAAGCTGGACAACTACACGCGGAAGCTAAATACAAATACAATAAAACGATACCTAATTTATAAAACCCGTTTGAGCACAAACGATTGATTAAAACAGTCGTTAAAAAATACTTATATGGCTGCTAAATACAAGGTCGGACAAAATACAAGGAAAGAGAGGTGTAGGAAGAAAGAGAACATCCTGGCTTAGAAGTGTCCAAAGTTCAGGTTGCCATTATATTCGCCGACCTTCATTAGAACATGGCACGTCAAGAAGAAGTCGTTAAAATCTTGTTTGAGTATTATTCGATATTGAAAACAATAACTTCTACCATAGGCTCTAATTTTTTTTATCACATAATATTATACTCAAGCCAATATGGTGGACCTCGCAGGGCACTCATACATAGCCACATTTTCAGATTAGTTTTTCCATCCAATATAGGCGCTGCGCAGGTGGAGCAACTTTAATCATCAAGTTTCGGCAACTGGCAACCCGCAACTAGCTGTATATGACGTTTTTCATATAATTTCAAGTAACCGCGCAGACGTAGCAACTTCAGTTGAGAGTTTCGGCAATCGACTACAGTTTTTGATTGGCGAAATCCGTGATTAAATGAATTCTAAATTGCCGCGACTAGAAACTTGCAAATTTGCCAGTTTCCGCAACCAGCAACCGTAACTCCTAACCTCCGCATCCCCCGCTAGCGCTAGTCTTGACCGTGGATTTCGAAAGTTCATTTAAAATTGCGGCGACCGGCAACTAGGCCTTTTAGTTGGGCAACCGGCAACCGTTAATGGAAGCTTGTAAAAAGTTGCCAGTTGCGTCAACTAAAGTTGCTTAGCGCCTTAGTTAATTACCGTGAAATTTGAATAATATTTCATTATAAAATTATTCTTCAATATTTAAAGAATAAAAATTGTTCAATAAGTCAAGATCGGATTAATTCGTTTTTGGAGTACCTACCCGAAAAGCCTTCCCGCACGACGACGACTTACCATTCCTTTCCTGTCTGGCGCACCTTGGGGCCTAAGCAACAAGGAGTAGTTGCGTCGGGAACATTGTAGAATATATACCATTGATAAGAAGAACCATTTTTGTCCAAAATTGTGAACGGAAACCATTTTATGTACGCATTATTAGAATATTGGATATTTTTCCATGTGACAATTTTCGAAAATCTTTATCATGTAGTCAAGATAGAAGCTATAGAACACAGCACTAGCGAACCTGTGGAATCTCACTACACCGCGTTTTGTGAAGTGGCTTTTCTTAATCTGTGTTACGTTTGGCTATCGAATAGTATTTAATAAAGTTATGATAAAAACCACTACGAACCAAAGTTCCATAGCCCACAAAGTAAAAAAATACTGTCAAATGTCAGATTTATTTTCTTAAGACTGATTTTGTTTTGATTTTTGCTTTTGATTTGATAGAGACAATTTGAAAGTTAGATAGATAGGTTCTAAATACCGTCTGGTTTGCTTCCAAATTGCAATTAAAGTTAATATAATAGTCAACATTTTATGTTCTAATATATTTTTCCTTCTACCTTTACTTTCAAAAAACTTATTAATGTATAAAATAATAAATCAATATAATATAATAAAATAAATCTTAATCTCAAGTCAAGAACATTACAATGAATATTGGTGTAAAGAACGAGGAAATACGTGCCATAAAATCATACTTTTTTCACGAACTTAAATCAGAACATAAAATACGTTTGGAAAGTTCTAGTCTTAAGGACTATAGTTTTGAAGAATGCGGAGTGTGTCGCAGTGTTTTCCCTAATAAGTGAGTTTCCTTTTTACATCCGTTTGTTGATATAATTATATGTGTATTCTTTGCTGCACCAAAAAACATAACAAATGGGTCAATGTACATTACCATCGCACGAGTTGAGAGTTCAAATTAATATGGTGAATAGATTACATAGTTAGCAGTGTAATCCTAAAATATTAGCTTTAGGAAACTCGTAGTTTTGATAATAAAAATTATTGAAATATTCGAAAAAAAATTTTTCCCGTTAGGGGTTCGGGGGGACGGGTTTACCCCGCTCTTTGGTGCGAAAACATGATTTTTTGAGGTTATTTTTTTCGAATTTTCAAAAATTAATATCTCGAAAACTATTAACTTCGTAACTTTGAAACTTTGCACGAACGGTCCCCCCTCCCACCCCTCAAATCGTGCGATGGTAATGTACAGTCCTTCCTTGATGCATATTATGTGTATAGTGTATTATACATACACATAAATGTATACACATAGTTGCACATATATACTGCTTTTGTTTCGCAGCGAATAAGTGCTGGAATGACATTCCACCTCCAGTAAAAAATGCTAAAACGTTGTTTCCTTTTAAAAACCAATGTAAGCAATGGCTCCTGCCTGGACAAAAATCTAGTAACAACTGGTCCCCAATTAGTTCAACCGTTTTTTTTATAAAATTTGTTTTAAATTGAATAAATTTAAAAAAAAATTAAAACTCCTAGTAGCACAAAACTTTAAATTTTAGTTAAATGTATAAAGGTAAGTAATTGCTTATGCTTAGTGTACACTCCGCATATTAGTTTGGTGCAGCAAGCAAATAACTAGCTAGATGAAGACTGAAAATCAGCAATGCTGAGTCTTTAACCGTTTTGTCCACATCACGCAATTGTTTTTTTCTATTGAATTTTTAAGTATTATGTTCCATAAATTTTGTGGAGAAATAAATACCTTTTTATTTTATTTATGTTATATTTTATACCTTTTTTATTAAAAAAAAAACTGACCTCAAAAGATATCACCACTTATGTTGTGTTTCTTACGGTAGTCTCATCAAGACAAATAATATAACCTACACCACACCACACCACTGATAGCCCTGTACTAGAGAAACTCTGTATCACAAGTGCTACGGATACACATATAGACAACCATATTTTACACCCAAACTCACAAGAGAATCGAAGCCAGGACCCCTGCATGGCCGACCAGCATGGTATAGTTGAAGAAATATTATTTGCACCAATGAATGTTGCCTCAAGGAACGGCTAGTCTTTTCTATTACAATATAGTAATAAAACCAATAACACTATATTACACAAAGCATACATGAACTTAATGATCTTGACCCACCATATGAGTTAGCAGAGCGCTAACTTGTACTATAACAAAAATACAGTCTTGAGGTTCTACTCTGTATGCATATAGGTATAAGTTTAAGGAAATTAACATTCTTACACTAGCAACATAGTACATTTATGAAAATGTAATTTACGGTAAGAGCAATTTCTTTATGAAAAATAGTGACAGACATAACATTAATACGAGGAATAAAAATAAACTAGCTGTTCTTGATAGTCGTCTTCACAGTCACAAACTCATTTAAGGGGCAATGTATACACTTCTATAACAAAATTCCGGTTGATATATAAAATTTGCCATTCACGGGGTTTAGAACTACAGTAAAACAAAAACTTTCTACTAAAGGTTACTATACAACTTGGATGACAAAAATCTATGGTAGTAACCCATTTAGCTCATGGAGGTACTCTCGATCTCTGATGTTTGAAAGCAAAAACAAATGTATTGTAAATGTTGAATGTGTACAAATGTTTTCTTCTCAGGGGTACCTGCCTTACGAATGAGCGGTAGAATTTTACCGACGTGACCATTTCAAGTGTAACAATGCTTACCTATGAAATAACGATTATTTTGATTTGATTTAAATGAAACTGTCTTCACTACAGTCTGCAGTATCGCGCACTTCATGTCGCTCTCGCTAAAGTCGCGCTCTGGCCTGTTAGCCCTACTGGTTATCGACGGCTCACTGCGAATTCGCGAACCACGTACACACTATTTGGTAACATAATTTATAACAGTTACGGTTACAGCTTGCTTGTGAGTACACGGTTTATCATACACAAATAACTATCCAACGTTGACAAGCGCCCGATGGCGACTGACAGAGCAACGGGCGGCACAGCGTGTCGTTAAACCGTTCTAATTTTGAAATAAATGTGAATTTAAGGGCTGCAGTTGAAAAAAAAAATTTGCAGGTTCTCTGTAGTACTTCGTTCACAGCGAACTCGCGAGCAGTTATCAATACGTGGCAATACATTGTTTGTCTGGTGCAGTGGTGCTGGTTTGCACCTAACCATTAGCACGTAATCTATGTGCCTATTTTTTCTAAAATACTTTTGGCGTGTTGTCTGTGATATTTGCCACGGACATTTTGTTATGTTACCTACAATAATATTTAATATGTATCGAGTTCTTAGGTTTTCGCGATAGTTACACATAGGAAATTAAACTATTTTTCCGGATTTAAATCGCGTATATTCGTTGCGCGTCAGCTGTCAGTTGACAGTCAACCGTGACCATGCGACCTGTAAAGGGCCCGAAACGTCGGTTTGTTTGAAAAAAACAAATATACGCGATTTAAATCCGGAAAAATAGTTTCATTTCCAATATTTAATATGTTTTACATTTTTTATATTGTGTAGATTGTACAATGTGTAGTAGACTGAACAATGTGCGAAAAATCTGTATAGGTTTATGCACATTGTTTTGTTAATTGTAAATTTAAAATGAAAAGTGTAATAATAAATAAATTATTTAAGAAACACTTAAAAATGTATCTCCATATAAAAATTATATGCCTTACTTTCTCAAACTCGTATCTTATGCAGAGTGATTATTCAGGAGATTGCAAAACTTCCTATTTATTTTAAATTTTTTATCTTCTTCTTCTTCTTCGTTTCGCTCAATGGCGGTTCCTTCTTTTTAAAATTTCGCCAGTGTCGAGTTTTCCGCTTAGCAGAATGTAAGGGCTACTGCAGCTGTGTTACTATGGTACAACGAGTATTGTGGGAGGACAATGTGAGAAATGCAAGTTTTAATACATAGAATTTAAATTTTGATGCTGCGGAGCTGTTGATTTACCTGAAAGGACGGACACAATATATAAACACAAGTGTTAGTATGTTAAATAGAAATTTTTCATCAAGGGTGTGAATTTGGATGCAATACTTTAAGAATAGGTAAAAGCCAGTTTGTGAATATGAAGGAAATGTGACCTGAAATTAGCCTGCAAAATTTGTATATACAATCCATTTTTTGCATTTCAGTAACGTTGTGCTTTAAGATACGAGATTGAGAAAGTAAGGCGACGTTATTTTATTCCTAAATCACTCGTGTAGATTTTTATTTTAGCCTATTTTCGGGATTTTATATGATCGGGTAAAGTACCTTCTATCGTGTAACAAATTAGATTAAAGAATGTCTTTAGACAATATCCTCATGTGTATCGTATATGTTTTGTAAGACCGTTATCTAATGATAAATACCTAAACCATTTGATCTTATATATAGCTTATCCCGCTTCTCATCGGATGACTCGCCTTAACTATTAGATTTAGGTGTCCAGTTGAGAACTCCTCCTTTGTTGAAGTCTACCACCAAATATATATATATTTTTGTTATTTGTATTACAGATATGCTCTCCTGCAGCACCATTTAAGCCATATGACAATCCCACTGTCAAGACTGGACTTATACCAGTGTCAATACTGTCAATTATTATACGCAAAGAAGACTGAACTTGACCAACATATGATTAACGAACACAATGAAGAAAACAATAAACAAAGAAATACACTCAATAAACAAGATTTGAAAAGAAGAACAAACTATGAATGTGTAACGTGTAATAAAACATTTAACTATCATAATTGGCATAATCATATAAGGACGGTACACTGTAATGACAATTTGACATGTGATCAATGTAATAAGTCATTCAAATGTCATAAATATCTATACAGACATATCCACCATGTACACTTGGTCAAAACGCAATTTAAAAGTTTTCAAGAATACATTTGCGAACAATGTTCAAAAGCTTTCAAAAGCGTAGACTGTCTTAATAAACACGTCAGAAACTGTCACAGTGAGAAAGTTACATGTCAAATTTGTAAGTCTGTGTTGAAGAGTGCAGTTTATTTGGGTTCTCATATGAGGAGGGTACATTGTGACAGTAGTAAAAAATCCAAATGTCGAATATGTGGCAAACAGTTTAAAAGTGAACGGCAAGTTAGAATACACGTTGGTAATACACATGAGAAAAAGCTATGCCCAAGATGTGGCAAAATGTACTCAACGACGTGTCTTTATTATCATGTCAAAAAATGTAATATTGGCACACAAAATGCCAGAGAGGATAAAATTGATCATGATGACATGAATGGAGATGTGATTGTTGACGACAATGAACATCTCGACATTGCTAGTCAAATCAGTGGAAATTCAAATGTTCATGATGATGTCAAAGTTGATATTCGTGCTCCTGCCAATGATCAGCTGAACAATAATAATATAGGCAATTTTAAAAGAGATATAAATAAGAGTAACAATAGTCAAATTAATGTAAATTCAAATGTTCATGATAATTACGAAGTTGATATTCATGATAGTGTCAATGATCAGCTGAACATCAATAATATAGGGAATTGTAAGAAAGATATAAATAAAAATGACAACAATCAAATCAATGTCAATTCAAATGTTCATGATGATTTCAAAGTTAATATTTGTGATCACGATGTTCATGATGACAGTGAGATTAAAAGAGGAGATTGGTGTGATCGTGCCAATAAAATTAGGAGAGATGATTTAAGTTTTTATCATTACGGTCACGAAATAAATGTTACAGTTGATGACGATAATGTGAAAGGAGGTACAGTACACGGAGTTATTAATAATAATATTAATGGACTTTGTAATGTTCAAATCAACAATGGAGATATTACCAGACATTTTTGCAAAATATGTAATAAAAAACTGAAATCTGAAGAAAGAGTTAAAATTCACATGAAAAATGCTCATAGCAAGAATTTACCTGTTAAATGTGAATGTTGTGGTAAATTTTTTTTTAACTTGAAATATTTTGGTGTACACGTTAAGAAATGCCGTATTAAAGAAGTTGATGTTTCTCCGAGTAGAAACGAAAACAAATTTGATATACAGTTTAAAATTGAAATTGATAACCCCTCTGAAATTAACGAATGAGCTTTTATGTCCTTATAAAGCCACTAACTGAGTAGCCTACTGTACTACTTGAGAAATAATTGGTTCCCCATACAAACTTTCATCGCTTATTTCATTCTTTTTATTATGATTTATTTTTGTGACAAAAAGCAGCTCCAAATTGGTCATACCGGAAATCGAGTCAGGGACTTCCGCACCCAGCGCCCACTATAGCGTTAAGCCACAGAGGTTGACAATTTTATTGAATATCATATTCTTATTGCCATAGTATTCATATTTTTTGTGAAAATTCTCCACTAGTTCGGTGTCAAAAAATTCCCACGATGTTGCTAGATTTGCCAGACCGGGGCTTGCCACTCCCCTAGCTCAGCTACAAAGCGAATCTGCAGACCTCACGAATTTCTCTACGTGCTTATTGCCGATCTTCGTTTTTTATTTAAACGGTACTTTTGCCATAGTGCCATTTGTGAGAAACCTATGAAGGTTTTTTGTTGACTCAGCCGCAGAGCTGCGGCTTACAAGAGATGCCGCTTTATTAGTTGCATTATTTAGTTCATTTAAATATCATGTTTTTGCATCGAGTGTATAACCAGAAATAGAGACGAAATGTCAATTATTTTGTTTGAAAACTATTCTGCCATACCATTTACGGTGACAACAGCGCTCCGATTGGCTAGCCCGAGTTCGAAACTATTGACGGGTGTCGTTAATGGGTATCGTCAACAGTTTCACTTCAAGTCGACCAGTTAACTTGAGCTTTGCTATAATGGACGTAAATTGCAAAATTACATATTTAATAATTAATTACCGATGAAAAGTGATTCCGTTTCTTTCCTAATTAGATGTTTTACTGTTTCCTACGGCACCGAATGAATCGGCCCCCCATTGCTAGAGATATTATCTTTATTACAATAAATACAGAATATTTTTTGGAATATGCGGAGACGTACACACAGGTCAGTAGTTGGCCTGTCTATATTTCAGTGCAAACGGGAGCTGATATTTATAAGAGCTGTATCGCTAATGTGTTACCAGGAATATATGGCCCTTATTTCGTCTCTATTTTTGGTTATATAGGTACCTACTCGATATGTTTTTGTAACTACAGTACCGGCACTGTGAGGGTCGTATTCCAGAACTGTACTCAATGCTCAAGTCAGGATTTGAGCAGACTTGAGTATGATTTCAAGCACTGGAAATACAACCCTAATGGCAAGGACTTGAGTATGATTTCTAGTGCTTTGAATCATACTCAACAGTTTTAGAATACGACCCTATGATGGCCGTTTTGACAGATTACAATAGTGAGGTTAAATCTCAATTGTCGAAAAAAATATAATCAAATAAGAGTCGTATCTATAAGTTTTAGATTTATATATAGTAAAGCGTTTATAAAACGTTTTAGGTGCCCTCAAATTTGACGCTTATAGAAACGCTGTGAGTCTGCAAACGGTATACGTTTTTATATATTATATATAATAAGATCCGGAGCTTAATTAAGTTTAAAACTTACATCAAAAGTATTTTAATTGAAAAGTCATATTATAATTGAAGATTCCGTGTTAGATAAAGATGTATGGAAAGACGACATAAGTCTAGATTCCACAAAAATAATATTTAAGATATATTCAAAGTGTATTTATTCCATAGCGTTTGTTTGAAAAGAGCAATCCCTAGAGTTTCTTGCTCGTTCCTCACAAGGAAGTCAACACAGTAAACGAGCAGTAGCTTAAAAAATTACATTTTCAAGTGTAAAATTCTACCTATGGAATAAAGGAGTATTTGATTTGACAAACGTGGCGCTGCAGCTGCGCTTCTAAATATTATAATAAAATTTCTAGTAGCGCGGCTGAAGCGTTATAATTTCAAAGAAGTGTGATCTCATTCATTTTTTTTTCAATTAAACGTTCTTTCTTAAGTTTTTCAATATTCAAATTCAAGTAGTTTTTACAAAAAAGTTAATGAGAACTTTGTTGAAAAACTATTTAATGTGAGGGAGCACTTATATGTTGATTGTTTCTTTTTTCACTCCTTTTTTTGTTACAGTAAAGGTAGCCTTTTTAAGGTTATAAAAGTTGCTATTTAGTTATTAAGTTAGTTGTAAGTGAAGGTTGTGAAAATAAATATTCACTGTTTATTTTGTACATATGGATGTTTTATTTATTCATTAAATTCATGTAGGTAATCCATTAAATTATAATAATTATAATGTTTTCTTACACCGTCCATGAAAAATTTCAGATGAAATTTCGAGGTGCAAGCCCGGATTCAAACCGACGAACCTCTGCTTCAGGTTACGTTAGACTATCATGGTAGATTTTCCTTTAATATGAGTACTATAATAATTACTTCTAAAGTGTAGACACTGGATCTGTTTGTTAAAAAACAAATTAGATTAAAAGTGTATTACATAGCATTTAAGTTCATTTGAAAAGAACAGTCCCTAGAGTTTTTTGCTCGTTCTTTCAGAGAGGTCAACGTAGTGAACGAGCAGTAGCTTAAGAGGGAGCAGAGGAAAAATTCCTAATCTTCGATTTGATTTTAGAGGGGTATATCTACTTTAAAGTTAAAAATAAAATATTGTATGAGTAACTACACGATATATTCAAGCATAGACATTAATCAGAAACAAAACAATAAAGTTTCGTCAATAGATGAAAATCACGAAATGACCTCTAATTTTCACATTTTTTCGATTCATCCTCGAAATGCTACAGGTTATTAGGACAAAAATTAGATAATTAATTATATTTATGCATAATCGACAACTGTCACTACGGATTTTTTTTTAATCCCTTTAGTTTTAGAGTTATTCCGCTAAAACGAATTTGGTACTCTTAATGAGCAAAATTCAACATCTCCTGTCGCATGTCACGCGAAGTTCAGGCATATATTTGTTTCACAAATTTGGGCGGAGCCAACGTCAAAACTTTTTGGCATGCTCCCTCTTAACTCCCCGCTTCACCTGTAAATTTCTGAACGAAAATCAAATGTCAGAAATACACAATTTCTAAACGATACGAAATTATAACCTAAAATGTATAGCATTTTTTAGATGCAAAATAAAATTAAAATAAATATTTAATTTAGAAGAATGTCGAATAGCAACTTATTTCTGAAGTCCGGCTTTGTAAGAGCACCGTTGCAGAACGGAGTTGGCCGATATGTGTGTCAATTGCAAAGAATTGTTCTTAAATTCTGTAAAAGTCACGGAGGGAGCCGTGGTCTTAGGTAATCTAGATTTAAGTGAATGTAAAGCAGCGATAGTTTATTTGATTGAACTGTAGATACAAAATGGCATGAATTATTAATTTCGGGATAAAAATAGAACCAAGTCAATTTAACTACCAACTTGGAATGATTTTTCCCACGAATTCTGTATTTAGTATTATTAAAATAAAATTTAATACAATTACCGGGAATAAAAGCAATTATTTCATTAAAAAAATTACCATGAAATAATTGCAAATGAAATTTCAATGATGAATATTTTTTACAAATGTCATTCATTCACAATTCACACATTTTACCGAAACTATGTAAATATTTGAGCGCGAAAATTCATGCGTTTTGTTATAGTTTAAAATTTTCGTATTAATAATGACGATAATAGAACTACTCAATAGGACTAGTGAAAACGAAAGGAAAGAATGAATGTCCGGAAAAAGATGTCTTTGAGAGATAAGTTTAAAGAAACTAACATTCTTTAATACATTTTTTAATTCACTTTGCTGGGTTTAAATATAGACACGCATTTGAATTGGAAATGTCATATACAAAAAATTAAGAAAAAGTTGTCTAGTTTCATGTACGCATTGAGAGAGATAAAGAAAATGACTGACCTAATGACTTGCTTGCTTACACTCATTCCTACCTAAGTTATGGAATTATCCTTTGGGGAAATAGTGTGCACGCACAAGAAATATCTACAATCCAGAAAAGATGCAATTCTTTGCAATTTGAGTGCGGATAGCTGCAGACCGCACTTTAAACGATTTAAAATTTTGACTTTGTGTTCTATAATATTTTAGAAATTTGTAAATTTATTAAACAACACCCTGACTTTTACACTAACACTGATGACCTGCCTCAACGACACACTTTTAGACCACGCAATAGATTGCTCAAGCCCCCACACAGCTCAAGTCCCCACTCGATGTCGGTGAGGATATTCAATGAGCTCCCACCCATTATTAAAAAAGAGGAAAAGTATTCACTGTTTCTAAATAAATTAAAATTACATCTTATTAATAAATGCTATTACAATTTAAATGAATACTTTGATGACAAATAAAAATAATAATATTACAATAAATGTTAATTATATACTATAAAGTTATGCTACTGTAATCTAATTAAATTCAAACTTTCAAGTGACATAATTCTACTCATAATATGACGTATTTCTTTATTATTATATGACATTTTTTTAAATATTATTATTTGATAAATAACAATTTTAATTAATAATTGAAACCTCGGCCTACCTCTGCTGCTATTGTTATCCCTAATAAAGGGCTCATATGTGTAGCATTATTTTAAATTTAAGACATGTATACTATATGAATGCAATAAATATATTGAGTATTGCGTATTCTTACACTGACGTCACAGCACATTAATGAAAATTTGATAAAGTAATTCTGTATGAAAAATTGTGATAAATATAACGTTAATATGAGGAATAAAAATGAAGTCGCTGTTCTTAGCAGTCGTCTTCACAAATTTGTTTGAGAGGCAATGTATACGCTCCTACAATATGACTTCGGTTGATATTCAAAATTTGCCATTTGCGAGCTTTTAAAACTTTCAAAAACATCTACCCCAAAAGGTTAACGGAAAGTGCGTGATACTGGATACATCCTAGTTTTCCTCCCTTAGAGGTAGAATATTGTCTTCAAATTGAAATGGGACAGACTTTCCAACAAAAAAGAATCGTCAAAATCGGTTCACAAATACCAGTGTAATTGCATAACTTTCACTAAAAAAATACTGTCCAACAGAGGGCATCCTCCTTTTTTGAAGTCTGTTAAATATTTATATACAGCTTCTGCTTACTTGGATGACAAAAATACTTAGTGACCATTTAGCCATTGCAGTTTATCTCCAGCGTTGATATTTAAAGTAAATATTATAAATGATAACTGTGTACAAATTTTTATTTACAAAGAAGAATGCTACTTATATCTCTTACTCATTCTTCTCAGGGGAATCTGCCTTATGAATGAGTATAGTTTAATCCATATGACAATTTCAAGTATAATTTAAAAGCAATAAACTGACATTGTCTTTACTTGCCCATAAATTTACAACCAGAAATATATATCTTTAAGTTTTTATGATACATGTATTTATTATTTACATATTAATTGTCATGTTTCAGAGATTATATAGAACAAAATCTAGTAGACTTTGCAAAAGAGAACCCTGGTATCGTTGTCTACCTGAAGCCTCGAAGACACCGTAGTGCTGTTGTTGTTGGAGAATATTGTAAGTGTCATAAATGTTATTATTATTTACTAAGCCCAGTGCCCATCGGTGGGAGATTTGGCAGGGGATCTTTTGGTATCCCTACATGCGACGGTAACACATGCCGAGGCATACAGTCACGACATCGTGCTCGCACCTAACTTCTGTTCAGATCAGTCGTAATGTTAAACATAACGAACCTGCCGAAGCATCCTAAATGCCTGCCTAGCATAGTTCTAAAGCAAGGTTTCTTAACCTCTTTCTAGTTATAGATCCCTCTCAAAATTTTAAAGAGACCACGGAACCTTCTCGAAAAAATGAAGGAGGGATTGTCTCGCGGTTCCCGCTGGCTCCGATGGCCGGCAAAGGGTACAAAGTTCAAAAAGTCACGTGCACAGTACCTGTTTACTCACAACATTTTCTATACCATATTCATATATTAATGCATTATGTTTGGTAGGCTCGCCATGGACCCACCCCCCAGTCCCCTTATTTTTATTACACGGGCCTCTTATGGATCCATGGACCACAGGTTAAGAAAACCTGCTGTAAAGGTACCTGGCTGAGTGAAGAAATAGATTTCTCACATATGGTGCTACTGCAAAAAAGTCTTTAAAAACCAAAAACAAAGATGCACACAGAAAATTTCGTAAGGTTCATATTTTGTTCCGTGGCTTAGTTGGCATAGCGCCTAACACGGTTTGCTAGATGACGGCTGGTTCAAATCCAGCCGGATCTTTTGTAATTCAATAAAGAAAAGTAACAATTAGGGAGTCATTTCCATTTAGGGCAAGTCACAATTCACCACGTTGATCCAAAGCGCGTTGGAAACTTCAATCTTCAAATTCTTGGGGTTCTTCTCCTATCGGAGGCTAAGCTCCTATCATGACAATCCAGACTTTAGAGACTGCCGCTCTAAAGATCGGAAGAGCGAGGTGCTACTGCAGCCAAACCATTCGCTCAAATTCTTTAAACCAAGGGTCTTCTACCGACATTTCGTTCGATATTTGTATTAATATTTTTTTATATGATGCTTTTTGCGACGTATGTTCGGTCCATGGACCATGAGCAGTTGTTTTGTTATGATCTATTTGGCGTGTTAGGCTCGCCCGCCCTATGTTAGGCCTTCGTCTTTCCAATTACTCCTTCCTTTAGTCCCACATGTGGCGCCTCTTCAATCGTCTGTTACTTAGCGGTTCGTTCAGAGCTTGTGTAAGCCTATTTTCATGTCGTGAGATTTTGTCCTTATAGGCTTTTGTCATGCTACTTATCTCCTGTTGGACAGTTGAGATTTGTGAATATCATACATTTTTGTGAACCATGGAGCATTTACCAGAGTTTTGAGCACACCATTTTGGAACCTCTGTAATATCTCCAAGTTTGATATACTTGCTGATCCCCACAGTTGTAATCCATAACTCCAAACCGGTTTGACGACTGTTTTGATGGTTAAGTTGTTCTCAAGAGACAATCGGGATTTTTGCCCAGAAGCCATTCGAATGATCTGAATTTGTTGTTGACCTCGTCACGCTTCTTTTGTATGTGTGTTTTCCAGATTTGTCTGCGGTCACACCCCGGACACTCCATACAATGGTCGAAAATTATTTACCTACTACTACTACATATAGCAAGGCGCTATCTGCACACGCGCAAATGTGTGCGTGAAGTGGCAGGGTTACCCATCACTTTCTTGCACTGTTACGTTGGAGCGGCAACATAGCGAAAATGCTAACGCGAATCTATAATTCTAATAATAGAATGCAGCACAGATTACTATATACACTTTACAGAATCCTAATAATTACATATGTCTATTATGTATTTATATCGATATAATATCATATATTTCATTAATTCACTAACTAGAGTAATATTGAAGATTTATTTAAAAAATATATTAAAAGCACTTAAAATGTTATATTTTGGACTGTACTTTTAAATAAGGTAACCAAGGTATTTGAAATTGCGTGTCCAAGTTGATCAACATTACTTAGATAATAATTAGGTATATTCGCTACTACGTATATTATTCGAGAACTCTTGTCTACTAGCTCACGAAGTCACGGCGCCTCATTATATTGATATAATAAATCTGTATTTTTTATACATACATATATTACTCTGCAGTAAATAAATGAAGAAAACAATAACTGACTGACTCTCAGGCATAAGTTTTTTTACTTACTTCGTTTCATCTTTCGGAAAATGATGATAAACAGCCGTCAACAGCACAATTCACCACCATTATAAATAGTAACGAAAAATTATGTTTTATATTAACGTACAAGTTTCGTAATGAATAAATGAAAAGTATATTCAAATATCAAAGCCGTTTTCGCGCGAAAACGGCTCGCCGGCAACCTTGTTGTCGTTCAGTCAATGTGACCGATGTGCGGGGCGTGGTGCGGTATCTAAAGCTAGGGAGGGGCGGAGAGTGTCCGTTCTCTTTACTTTTTGTTGTGTCCTGCGGTCAAGGTAGAATCCCAAGTATTTAACAACAATATTGTGGGGTATTACATCTCCTAGTTTCACAATAGGGCAATCGTCTCTTCTCAATGTAAACGTGATGTGATTGGACTTTGCTGCGCTAGCTTTGATTCTCCAGTTATTCATCCAAGAATGTATCTTATCAAGGTGCTATTGCAATACTCTTGAAGCAGTCTCTGGAACTCTGTCTGACTCCAAAAATGTCTGTACTTCTTTTACAGTAAACGGCGAACGAGTTTGGATGAGCTTACACAACAAAACACACTCGGAAATAACAAAATGGATCGAAGTGCTCCGTACACAGCATGGGGATGTGTCGTCCGTACGGCTACGAAAATTTCAGCACACAGAGTACCCGTCTGTGCAAGGACCATGGACACCATTTACCTTTAAGGATTCGGAATTGAACGTTGCGAATTTGCCTGATGCTAAATTCGGAGTTAATAATCGGTAAGATTTTTTTCAAGGTCAAACTGCTTAAAATTGTGTGGAAGGGAAGGGAAGGGATGGGAATGGAATGGAATGAGAAACATTTCGCACATGAACTGTTATAACTCAAAATTATGGAATTAAGAAAAGAGAAAAATTTATTATTAAATAAAATCAATTTTATTTAATAATAAATTATTATTTATTTAATACATAGCAGCTCTTCGAGCTGTTGCGTGTCTATCATTGCACTTGTACATTGTTGTTAGTTTTGAAACTATTCACTGTCAGAGCATCTAATTACTGTTTCTGGGAGTGAATTCCGCAAATTCAACGCAAAGTAGCTAGAAGTGTTTTCTGGGATTGCTAGTACATGGGTGCTTGGTTGTAGAGCTGGTGTTGTAAAGGTCATTTAAGAACTTCCACACAGGCCACTGCAGATTGTTCTAGCCGTTCTCAACTATATCAGTATAGGTCTCTTCAGTTCCTTTTTTTTTCATAATATCAAGTGACGGGACGAACAAGTCGTGCGACTCATGGTAAGCTACACGCTTGTCCATGACAGTTGCAGTGTCAATCAGGGCTTTATTTCGCAAAAACTGCACTACAGCACTGTCACTGTGCCTGTCACCCTTTTTTTTTTTTTTTTTTTTTTTCTATACATGACAGGCAAATGACTCCACTCCACCTGATGTTAAGTGGAAAGTGGTATCCAAACGCGAAGGAACCTAGTGCAGCGATGAAATCCTCACTGCACTAGCCACCTCCACCCTGCCTGCCTACAATATGCCTCTTCACGCCTGAGACATGAGTGCCTATAATTTCACCAGCACCCTTACTCTTCTAAACCGGAACGCAGTAATGCTAACATTACTGCTTGGCGGTAGAAATAGGCAAGGTGGCAGTACTTCCTTGGACGAACTCTGTCACAAGGAGCTCTTCTGCTAAAAAAACCACTTGTACTTGCACTGTGCCACCTTGATGTCATCTTTCCAACGGATCTGCAATGTCCCTCTGGGGCGTTTTTCTCTCCAACGTCGCCATTCGAGGACCGCTTTACATTAGGAGCTATGCTTTTGAGCAACATAATCCGTCCAACTACAATGAAATGCATATAACAGAAATATTTATTAAATCATGCAGTTGCTAATTACTGAAATTTCTAAACACATTTGCTAAAGTATTTCTTCGGTTTCAGACTACCCATATCGGCGACAGAACAACTAAGAATTATGTTTGAGAAACAAAAGTTGTCGGAAAAGGATGAGCAAGACATGAAAACTGCGGAATAACAATAGTTAATAAATAAGCACAGGCCACACCGCGAAAGAAGCTAGCTAACTTAGCTAAGAAAACAAAAAAGAATTTTCAAAGTCGGTCCACAATTGACGGAGAAATCGGAAACATACATAAAACTTACATACAGCCGAACGTATAACCAACTCCTTTTTTTAAACTCGGTTAAAAATACGTACTAATTAGCGACTATGGATACTTGCGGGGGTAAACGCGGCAGAAGGGCGACATATTTTACATAGCTAGCCGGATCGTTGGGTACTTCGGTTAGCTTAGTTTGCGGTGTGAACCGAAGTATGAAACGATGCCCCGGCTACGATAACTAAGCTTGTTAGTTAGCTTCGTTCGCGAAGTGGCCTGCGCATTATATTAGTTCATATTAATTAGTTGTTTTGTATAGAATAAGAAATAAATATTATATGGTTTAGTTTTCGATGGTCTTGTCATTTTCACAAGCAAATCGGTCATTTGATGATACTACATTGACCCGATTGTACTTCCTGTAATGTTAGAAGAAATGAATTTGAGTCGACTTTTTTTTATTTCAAATTTGAGACATGTCAATAAAACTTTGATTTTTTTTCCATCCTCTACTAAGGTGTTTTTACATATTTATGAAAAAGTAAATATAAAATTACTACCGATTATTCTTCAAACGTGAACATTTGTTATGATTCTTTTTTGTTGGACGGAGGGTACCTCAGTGGTAGGTACCACTTAAATTCGCCCTGGGCTCAGGGGTATCCATAAAGATTTCCCCCCCGTCAAAAAAAAAAAGGTACCATTTAAATGTGGAGAAAATATTCCACCTCTAAGTGTGGCAAACTATGGAATGAATCAGGTTTCGCGCACTTTCCGGCATCAATAAAACTTGTTAAATAGATGCAATACCACGAACTTTTAAGGTCGGTTTTTTGAGATTATTACAATCAAAAGTATAGGTACCTTATGAGCCCATGCCCTCTGAACGAAAAAGGGCACAACTGCTGTATAAAGTATGAATAGTTGTACCTTTTTTCGTTACGAGGGCAGTATACTCTAAGCTGGAATCCAAATGTTTCCCGTAATACGGTTCATTTAGCTTGGGTCGAGCGACAGAGACACTGGCTTTATTTCAAAATCTATTGTTTTACATACGAAATTAAA